TTCATTTTATTTCCTACTAGACCCATGTTCAGGCCAATCTGTATGGCATGTTTCGAGATAGCAAATTCTATCCGGACCCAGAAACTTTCAAACCAGAACGATGGTTGAAGGAAAGTGACATGGATAAGGAACTGAAAGGATTCTCTAACCTCGTCTGGGGTCACGGTGCCAGAATGTGCATAGGTTTGTAAGGGGGGACTTATTCCGAGAAAAAAGAAATGATAAAGAAACTCAAAGTAAAACATTATTCTTTCAATTGTTTTATTACAGGGCGAAGATTTGCAGAACAGGAAATGTACATTGTTTTGACAAAGGTGAGTACGATCAAAAATAAAGTTATGTAAGCTTTCATCCGCAAATTTAAAAAATAAATGCAATGTCTGTTTCTTTATTTTAAGGTGGGTTTATTTTGTTTTGGATTCGAAATAAACAGCTGTTTAATTATACATATTGATATTATAAAAAATTACACAAAATTGTCAAAAATCAATACTGTATTTACATTACAGAAGAAATACTTATTTCTTGTATTTAAAATGTTACAGATTGTACAGAACTTCATGATTGAGTACAACCACGGAACAGTGGAGCCCGTGTTGAATATGGTGATGAACTCCGATCGTCCTCTTCTGTTTTCGTTTATTCCAAGGAACGGAGAAATTCTCTAACAAGTTACATTTTGACACAATTTTATCGTGTCTTTACACATACTACGTATTTCAGATAGCATCACCACTGTGCATCATCTGTGTTATTTCGTATTGTTCTTTAGAGTTCGAAGTACAATTTCAATGTTAATCAAAGCCTTACAAATACTCTATGCTTGTAAACGAGAAAGGAGTTTCTTGTTTATTTTAATTAACAAAATAATCAAAATTTCAAAAAAAAATGCATTATGTTTAAATGCAGTGTTTAATTGTCGAATACCAGGTATGTAATTTGACAACAGACAATAAAATCTTGTTTTCATACTTTGTATGACTTAATTTTAATGCTTTACTCAGACTTTTAAGTAAGATTTTAAAGATGTTTCCTTCACTTTCTAGATCTAATTTCACCAAAAACAAAACATCAACTTCACAACGTGTACGTCAAAAGTATAGAATACGACTCCCAATATAACAACACCATATTTAATTTTGATATAAACCTCAGGCTGATCATTTGGTTGTAATCTTAATAACAACACGTGCGTTGAACGCTTTCATAGTACACTTTAAACGGACAACCGTTCAGTAAAAAATTCTGGTTGCCCCCCCCCCCCCCACATATACATACATCCAAATGAAGGTCAAGCAATGGTAAGTTTTAACTTCAATTTGCACAAAGAAAAGTTGAACAGATTTCCTGCAAAGGAAGTCCAAAATTCGGTAACCAGGGTACTAAGTATTTTTCTTGTGTCTGACAACGCAGCTGCATACACACTTATAGAAATAAATAAGATTTTGAAGAAAAGAAAGTATACAGGACTTTTCACTTACCCATGTTAGCTTGGTCGCAGCCACTGTGAGATCTTTTCATTCCCAAAACACATGAAAACAATCAAAGGAAGATTGAACAATGTCAGATATGTCAGGGGAAATGATATTCATCAGTGTCTTTGGGGCATCCCTAAAGATGAGGTTGCTGAGGATTTCTGTTCATGGATACACAGACCTAAGAGCAAAGGGTAAAAGGAAATGCCTTAAGGGATTGAAACTATTAAGAATATTTATTACGTACCTTTCTTACTTTTAGATGACATGTTACATTATTCATTGAATGACCCTGGTGTATGCAGCAATATACCTTCATCACCTGCATACGGAGTTTATATATCTCAGTCGATTCGATACGCGAGAGCATGCTTTATGTATGTACAATTTCTAAAACGAGGTAAATTAGTGACAAACAAGTTGATGAAGCAAGAATATCAGCAACTCGTTGAAAGTCATCATTTCGTAAGTTCTATGGTCGATACAATGACCATGTCAGCAAATACAATTTATCATTGAGTCCAATGCTGGCTGACGTTCTTCATACTTATTGTAAGTCCATTGTTCACACACTGAATTGACGACGTTGAATTTTTTTCGTTATTTCCCGATCATGACAGGAGCACACGGCTGATGTGACTTGTCGGCATGGGATGCTAACTCCTCCATGTCACCTGATCCCACCCCTGATGTTTTGGAGGTTCGTGTTTGCTCCGTTCCTATTTTGTATTGTTTTATGGACTTTTGAGGCTGAATAATATTCGTTATCTCCTTATGTTTTATTATCTATATCGATGACGTCTTATTAAGTCAGTAGTTACTTTCATTTTTAAACATTCAATATATCTCAACATATGCATAATCTTCCAACCTGTTATTTACAAAACATGTGAATGCCTTTCCCAGGCAGCTTAGTAGAGTAATAGGGCGATAATTATCAGGTTGTGTGGAATCGCCTTTGTTTTTATATATTGGCTTAATTAAACCAATTAACCATTCTTCTGGGAGAAGTCCACTTTCATATATCATGTTAAAAAAATAAATAAACTGGCATAAATATAGATAATGTTGATGAAATATGTTCATTCAGAATACTGTGAAATCCCGGGGATTTTCCATTTTTTCAACAGCTTATTTCATCTTCAAGGATTACAGAGTTTGAGATCTCATCGGATATATCCGATATATCATTAATCTCATTTGCAACAGGTGCTGAATTATCCTCAAATGAATTTTGCTCTTCATAGTCATTTTTATTGACATCTTTCAGAAATTTGAACATATCATTAATATTATCTACCCGGGTTTTTTTTCTTTATTGGAAGCATTTAAATTTTTTCAATAATCCGCCGAGTTCGTTGAGCGTAATATTTTTAGTTTATCTGATAGATCATTTCTATATTTTTGTATGCATTTATCCATCGTCCTTTTGTATTCTCTACTCATGAGACTAAGATTTAGTTTATTTTCTGCTGATTTTTGTCTATTGTGCATTCTTTTTATTAAATGATATCTTTTTCCTAGCAGTTCTACAAATCTTTATTAAAACCATGGTTTCTTATGTTTACTGTCTCGTGTTATACTTTACTCAGAGAATATTTTCTGTTATGATATGCTAGGAATATTAAATATGGGTCTCAATTTCTATTTTAAGAAGAAATTGTACACCTTCCCTCTACAGAATTTGACGAGAGATGAAGTCAAGATAAAATTTACACAGTAAAAATCGCTCATTTTGCCCAATATTTCAACATCACTGACCCCAACTTTATTTAAATCATTTTAAACCATTCTATACTTGTGACTGATCAGCACTTAAGTCGTAATAAGTTTGATACAAAAATATATTTTATTGCCTGTTTAAATGTTTAAAACCCAAAATATGTAACTTTTTTAGTGCAAAAAGGTCACAGAATAATTTACGTGCATTATTTTGCAATATTTGTTCAATGATAAATATTATTCAAACTATTTTACGTAAAATTAGATTATATTTATTGCCATTGTTACATATGATTAAATATGATAAAGGTTAGATATGATTAATAAAGGTTAAAATTTAAGTGCAAAAAGGTCAACTTAATTGTACCATAGCTAAGTGAGATGCACACTATATAACCACCTATTTTCTATTCGATTTTGAGTCGTACTATATTGAGTACTTATCCAAAATATACTTCTAAAAATCCTTGATATAACAAATTTTACGAGTGACATACCTTAATACATAACTATTCATACAGCGTATCCCCTCTCCGTATACATTATACCAACCGTACATTATACTATTTTTCCTTCCTCGCTTACACCTACCCCTATTTCAATTATTTAAGGGGATGAAGGACCTTTAGCTGAAAAAATACCTGTCATTTAACTTTTTTCATATTTTGTATATATCTTATTTAGTATGTCCTACGTACTATAAAGCAGACATATCAATAGGTTTCTAGACTTATTTCTGAGATATTGAGTGACAAATACCATACCCCACAGTGTCTGAGCGGAGTTTTTATTCTCCGTGTTTCTGGGTCCATTACTCGGTCGATAATTGGAATTTTTCACCATAGATAAAAATATACCAGCGGAAATGTGTCTTTTAAAATATTTTAGAGTATGAATAGGGTTAAAAATTCGAAAAAGCAAGATTCTTTTGTAACACCACATCTGGAGACGGAAATTTACGAATTTTTTAGGACAACTTAAACCATAAAAAAATTAATTTGCAAAAAATCCTATCATTCAATATTTGAAATTTTACGTCGAAGTTCAAGGTCGTCATTGTATTGATTAACTGTAAAAATATCGATTGGTGAAGCTGAGCTCAATATTGCACGGGGCAAAGTTAAACGAGTCATGATCATGAGAAAAACGTGTCATGTTTACATTTCTCGAGTACGGGAAAACCCAACTATGACGTCACACATTCCTGAAATAAGCGAAATAAGACAAACCCACAGAACTTTTCCGTCAACAACCATGTAAAAATATTTTTTGCGTTCTGAAATTTACAAAATACCCTACCATGTACATATTATGGCCCGTTTTTATGATTTTATACCACCCGTTTTTACCGTGTATGATCTAAGAGATCCACTATATGACGTCAAAGACGCACTGGACGCGCAGAGTAGGGAAACGGCAGAGTGGATTAATCTATTCCGTAATTTGATAATATTTGCAAGAAATTTTGAATGTTTTCAGATATTTTTATACTAGATGGTGTACGCAAACAAACATTCAAAAAAAATATACAAGTACTGTGGTTTCAATCTCGTTTTGTACATATTTTATCAGAGATTATGACGTAAATCAACTGAGTCACGTGACCATACATCCTTCATCCCCTTAAGTCTATTACTTTGTATACTCTGCACAACATATACCGGTCTTTTACACATCATGCTTCATGCTGGTGATTGGGTTACGTTCGAGAGGACAACGAATGTTAGAATAACGTAACCTGAAGTAGGCGTTATATTGTTCGATCAATGGTCAAGGGGAAAACATCGACTATGTCACGTGACAGCTAAGTAGATATAAAAGCCATTAATTTCAGAATGCTGTGTGCTAGCCGGTACCATCAAGTGTTCTGTAAGGTTTTAAATTATTTTTTTTCTAAATATTTTGATTTGAAAATACCAAAATTTCAGGAATCTACGAACAAACAAAAAATCAGGTAAGGTTTAGAATTACTGATACAATTAAAATATTTGTTTGCATGGTTTTATTAACTAGTTATTTCAATTACAATTTATTACATTTTTTTATTTATTTATTTAACTTTTTTTATGATATAATCTTAAATTCTTTTTTTTTCATAAAATCATACAAAGTAAAAAAAAAAATCATCGGATAAAAAAATAGTTTGAATGAAGATTTATCTAATTTTAGCAACGTTGTTCACGGTATAAAAATGATTCTTTAAGACAAAATGGCAACAAAAGGCACACTTTTCGGCAGTCTCTTCACAAAAACCTTACAAGCCCAAAAGCGAGTGGTTTCAACATCCGCCACAAAGCGGCAATCGATCGCATTAAAAGAAATAGCACCGATCACAGTAAGGAAAAATCTTAAGACTTAATCATTTAACCTCTTAGTCCTTCCTGAAAGTAAATGCTTTTTGTAAATTTTGTTTTTATGATTTTAGGTAATAATAGACTTCCAACAGTGTTTATTTGTTAGTATTCAATTTGTTTTCTCCATAAATTGTAACTTATGTTTTGTATATTTTCATTGCAAAGCGACCGTTCCAAAAGGTGTTAGAGAATATAAACCGATTAAAACTCCTCAAATCATCTAACGAGGAACCAAACATACAAACTTCAGCGAAAGTCAAACCTTTCGAGAAAATCCCCGGACCAAAAGGACTTCCAATTATAGGCACACTGTTAGATTACACCAAGAAAGATGGATATCGCTTCGACAAACTGTTTGAGGTTAAAAGATCTTATTCTGTATTGTTTTATACTCTTATGAATGATAATTGCAAATGATGTGCATAGGCAAGGATAGACATAATATTGGTATTGAACATTGGTGCGTAGGTTTAAAATTTAGCCCAACAACCCCACCCCACTTTCAAAACCACGTTGCAGAGTAGGTCAAAAAGGGTAAGTGGTAGTGTTTGGGAAAAAAGTCGGTACTGAAAACTGAAAGAAGTTTGATTTTAACCCCCCCCCCCTTCATGAAATAGGATTTTCGTGTTTGGACAATGGACAATTTTTTTGTTCTTGTCAAGTTTTTGTAGGTTTGAATTTTTTTTCTTTTTAATTTAGCCCCACCCCCCTCAATTTCAATTTGCTTACGACGCCAATGGTATGTAACATACTGTAAAAGTATTACATTTGGATGTGTATTCTTTTTAGCGGCTTTGGCGGAACCTCGCAACCGTTAAATCAAGTACAACGCTAATTGTCTTGCACATATACACATAATTAAGAAAATGAAGAAAATTTTAATGCGCTAAATCAAATTTACGTCAACTTATTGAAAATCAATTTCCGCCAAATATCGTACACGCTAAATATAATACATTTACAGTATATCGTATTCGAAGCTCTGAGTACATGTACATATTTATATATGAACCTTATAAAACAACAAATACACATCCTTTGTTTGGTTAACAGCTTATATGTATACATTATATATAATATTGAACTTTTCAAACAGGTATTTACAGAAAAATCTCTCCAATATGGACCCGTTTTTAAAGAACAAATAGCTAATATGACAACGGTTGTTATCACTGATCCTTTCGAGTACAAAAAGGTCATAAGGGCAGAGGGCAAGTATCCAAAGCGACGTGTCCTCGATCCATGGTTCCTGTATCGTGAAAAGAACAAGATGGGACAAGGCCTTGTAAACGCGTAAGATTGAAAACATGTATTCACTATGAATAAAGATTTAAGGAAGGTAAAAAACAAAACGAAACGCGGAAAGAAACAGCTATGTAGACATTCATGGTAATACAACTTTTTGACAAACTTAAAATCTAAAGTAGATAAATAAACTTGAGAATTTTTAACCTGTCATTCACATACCTTTTTGTTTGCGTGGTAAAAGCCAAAGTTCTGAGTGGCACAAGTACCGGTCTGTCACTGCGAAAAGGATGCTGAAAACAAAGGAAGTGTTAGAATATTGCACAAGTATGGACAGGGTGGCAGAAGACTTCATCACACACCTCTCCAATCTCAGAAATCAACAAAACGAAGTTGTCGGCATTGAAAATGAATGCTTTAAATGGGCCATGGAATGTACGTAGTTCGTTTTAAATGTTTTTTTTAAAGATGATTTAATTTTCTAGCTAATCTTCTACAAGGAACAACGACTGATGCTATACTTTTTCTGTTACCTCTTTAGCTGTGGGTACCTTTCTCTTCAAAACCAGATTAGGTTGTTTTGGACCAAATCCTCCAACCCAAGCACTAGAGTTTATAAAGCATCTACAAGGCCTTTTTCATTATATGCAAATACTGCTATATAGTTCTCCAATTTACCAGATAATTCCCACAAAACCATGGAAACAATATGAAAATCACTGCGACAACGTAATGCGAATTGGCAGATCATACATAGACAAGGTATTCGAACGAAATTAAGGTAAAGTCAATGATAAAAAGTTCTATAAAGGAATTGATACAAATGTTATTTCCTTTTGATCAGTTGTAAAAAAAAATCATTTTAGAAAGTGGCTGAAATCCAGAAGAACCCTACCAAGGAGGGTGAGAAGTCGGCATTTATAGAGTATATGATAAACCAGGAGTCGCTGTCCGAGAAAGAAGCCTTGTCCACCTGCACTGACGTCCTTGTCGGTGCCACAGAAACGGTACATACACTGTAAATGCACCGAATAGCAACTTAGCTTATTTTGGATAAATGTACATCATTTCACACTTTTGAAATAATTCAGTCATTTTTTTGCTCTACAAAAACATAGTCAAATGCTTCTTATGAAAACAATCTGAATACGATAAATGTTCATTTCACACTTTTGAAATAATGCAATCTTTTTTGCTCTATGTAACATTCCAAAATCAAATGCCTCTTATGAAAACAAACTGAATACGTTAAAAGTTTATTGATGACATATTGTAATAATTGATTTTAATTAATACTCATATAAACAGACGTGTATATTCCTTTTCTTTTATAGACAACGAGTGGTACTCTCTGGGCGATGTACTGTCTGGCCAAAAACCCACTCATCCAAGAGAAATTATACGAAGAAACAAAAAGAGTTTTACCAAACAACGAAGCTATTACCCCCGAAAAACTTTCTCAACTGCATTACGTCAAAGCGGTCATTAAGGAAACGTTTAGGTACGACCAGACATTAGTCTAGGTACAGCAACAGGGAATTTTTAAGCTTACATTGACTTGTATTTATTTAAGGAGACTGGGGGCCAACAAATTTACCATATAATTTAATTTTTAGATATGATATCTCAGGCTATCAACCATCATTAAGCAAAAAAATCATACATTTTAGTTTTAAAATTTGATCATGTTTGTATATCTTTAGATGGAGGTCTTCTTTTAAAGGAGATCAAAAATAGCCTGAAAATGGCCACAACCACCAATTCCTCTTTACACCATTCCAATGTCATTTGAACGAGTAGTTTTTAAGGTCATACTAAAAACCTGCTTTTTAACCATTAAATATTTTTAAATCCTTCAGATATTAATTCTATATATGGGTAACGTTTTCTCCAACTTCCTCTCCAGGTTTTACGTATTTTCTATTTTTTCTCTCTAGAGGTTATGTTCTTACCTCTCCACAGTTAATTTTTATTCTCTCAGTTTTCTCTTTAACAGGTTACGTTTTTACATCCTACCTCTCCACAGGTTATGCTCTTTCCTAACTCTCCCCTAAATTTTAGCCTCTCACTCTTCTCTCTACAGGATATGTTTTCACATCCTACATCTCCCATAGTTTTATTCTCTCAGTTTTCTATCTACAGGTTATGTTCTCTCCTCCTACCTCTCCAAAGATTTTATTCTCTCTGTTTTTTTTTCTCTACAAATTATGTTGTCTCATCCTACCTCTCCACAGGTTTTATTCTCTGTTTTCTCTCCACAGGTTTTATTCTCAGTTTTCTCTCCACAGGTTTTATTCTCTCAGTTTTCTCTCTACAGGTTTCATTCCATCGGTTTTCTCTCCACCGGTTATGTTATTTACTCCTACCTCTCCACAGTTTTAATTCTCTCAGTTTTCTCTCTACATGTTATGTTCCCTCCTCCTACCTCTCCACAGTTTTTATTCTCTCAGTTTTCTCTTTACAGGTTACATCTGCTCTAAAGGTAACTTTGTTCCACCTTTATTTTTTCTCTACAGGTTATATCCCCTCACCTTTACCCTTAGCAGGTACATAGAAGAGGACCTAGAGGTCGGAGGTTACTCCCTTCCAGCAGGGGTAGGAAATATTAACACAATTCTTAATTTTCCCAAAGCGTATTTTGTGTTACCCAAAGCGATTTTTTTTAATTATTTCCTTCTATTAGATATAACGTTGATATATCTATAGGAACCTTTTACCCATTAGACCTTAATAGCGACTAACCTTTAGAGCACTTTACTATTAAACCTATTATATTTCTATATTGATTACTTGTACCCGATAAGATTATTATCATTTTAATAACATACTTGTAACCGAATTTTCATTTTATTTCCCTCTAGACCCATGTTCAGGCCAATCTGTATGGCATGTTTCGAGACAGCAAATTCTATCCGGACCCAGAAACCTTCAAACCAGAAAGATGGTTAAAGGAAAGTGACATGGATAAGGAATTGAAAGGATTTTCGAACCTTGTCTGGGGTCACGGTGCCAGAATGTGCATAGGTTTGTAAGGGGAAAAACTTCTTCCGTGAAAAAAATGTTCAAGAAACACAAAGTAAAACCTGATAATTCTTTCAATATTTTTATAACAGGGCGAAGATTTGCAGAACAGGAAATGCACATTGTTTTGACAAAGGTAAATACGATTATGAAAATAATGTTAGCTTTCATCTGCAAATTAAAGAAGACAATTCATTTAAAAAATAAATGCGGCGTCAGTTTCTTTATTTTGATTCTAGGATTCTTTTGTTTTGGATTGGAAATGAGCAGCTGTTACATGTAAAATATAGAAATTATTAAAAAGAACTACGAACGACAGTATTGTTCTCCCGCCTACCTCCAAGTCAATTTTCAGAAGTTAACATATTCGATGAATTTTTACTATTTTTTATAGATAATTATATGAATTTTCATAAAACAAAATTTATTTGGGAAAACAAATAGAGGTAACTCTAAAATTTTGGTTAAACTTGTGTTTTTCACTATAGAAATCAACGGAAACGGAAAATATTTTTAAAACATCCCCCCCCCTCCGTGTCACAAAAATTCCTTTGTACAGGTAATATAGAATGTTATTTCACAAATTCATATCAAAGCTTTTTGTGTGACACGGGAGGGAACATATGTTTATCAACAAAAAATGATAAAAATGCTTATTTTCCACCAATTTCAAAGCGATTTACAACTGAAACATTATATTTTATTGATATATTTATGTTTTATTTATTTGCCTAAAACACCAGAAAAGATATAAGGAACATTTAGTCATATCCAAGACTATTTCAAAATATGGTGATGCTTGAAACTCCGATTTCAATGGAAAATATCGTGTAAACCCCCCCCCCCACTCTCTTTTTTTCAAGAGCTGGAATTATGGATAATTTACTGTTTAGCGCTGGTATTAGGACAATTTATCAATTACCAATGAACTGTTCTTTGTATTAAACAAAAAATTTATGGCCAAATTGCTATTTATATTGAATTAAATGGTTTCAAAATGTAGGCGGGAATCGAGAGTTAGCGTGCGTATTTCTTACAAAAATACATATTTGTAATGTCAAAACTCAATACTGTATTTACATTACAAAAGAAATAACTTATTTCTTGTTTATAAAATGTTACAGATTATACAGAACTTCAAGATTGAGTACAACCACGGAACAGTGGAGCCCGTGTTGAATATGGTGATGAACTCCGATCGTCCTCTTCTGTTTTCGTTTATTCCAAGGTTAAATTCTGTCACAAAAAACATTTTGATGTATTTTTTACACTTCATATTATGCAGCATCCGTGTTATTTGTATTTTTTGTTTAAGTTCGAAGTTCATTTTTAATACCAACCTTTAATTTACAAAGACTTTACGTTTGTAAAGGAGTAAGGGATTTTTTTTTGTTTCTTAATAACAAACTACACTTGTAATCGAAGTAATGAAAAGAAATTTTCTGTAATAAAATATGTTTATCTGCAGTGTGTATTTGACGAATACCAACAGTACTTTATTTCAATACAAGTATGCTTCTGGACAGCAGCCAATAAACACTTGTTTTCATACTATTTATGGCTTTAATTTTATGCTTTACTCAGATTTGTAAAGAAGATTAACATTTTTTGTGTTGAATGTTTGTACAGCTGACCCAATTAGTAACCTCAAAAAAAAAACGTTGACTACAATATACGCCAGTATTTTGCACTGATAATTTTGCCACTGGTCCTCAATACAAAGCTAATGATATTAAAAATAATAATTTGAATAATGGTTCGCAATATTTACATTTTGGTAACAATCCTTAAGATAACTTTTACGGATTGTTTGGGTACACATACAGGTCCTCAGTGACTATCTGCATGAATTGTAAACCTTCATATAAACCTAAAGTGGAGCACAAAATTAATGGTCGTCAATACAGATTCCCTCCTTAAAGGTGCTTAGACACAGATTTGATGTTAATATTTTCTCAAATTTTCTGTTTAATTTCATAACTTAATAATATCTTGCTATAGAATTACGAAAAATATAATAAAAATCTTATTTTTTCTGGAAGTTATTGAAACTGCTAGGCGCGTAATTGTACATTACGGCAATTAATCGTAATAAAAAAAACTTGGTTATCTATGTAGTATTTGGAGATCATAACTTTCAACAATCTGTCAAATTTATATGTACGTTAAACAATATCCATTATTAGCAGACCTTTTTTAGTATGAAATGAAGCCGAATTTATTCAAAAATTTTTAACAAAAAAGAAAAGCTGTAGCTTCCAACTCGACATTTACTGTATTCAATAATCCAGAACTGAAAAAAGAATTAGATCAATAACATGATCAGTGCGTACAGGTCCCTGCTGACAAAGCAAGTAACAACATTGTCTACGTTTGTAATTAAGGCTCATTATATAAATTGTATTTTAGAAGAATTTGGATTTAATTCTACAAGTAGTAATCATCTTATATCATAGTTTTCTTTTAAGGATGAAATTCTTCAAAATCATATGTCAGTTTTGAATATTATCAATATCCCAAAAACCCAAAATGAATCTGAATTACCATACCTATATTGAATTCCGAAACCTCATAAAATACTTACATTGATACATAGCGGGGTCTATAGTAAATGTTCAATCAAGCCTCTTTCTTTTCTCCTCACAAAGATATCAACAGTAGTGAGGAAGAAACTTTAAGAGTATTGTGCAACAATATATTAGAGAAGAAGTGTTAATCAGATGTGGATACTCAAAAATTCCAAGGAACTTTTGGAACACTTGAAATCACAAGATATTACAAAAATCAACAGCTTAAAAACTTTTCAACTTAATACACAATCATTCCCCACAATAAATTAAAGTCAAGGCTTTTTGATATCATTGACAACTGTTTTTTAATTAGAAAAAGAAGGAACTCGAAAATTTAATAACCTTGTCATTGGTCATTTACAAATTTATTTTGTCAACATACATTCTGATTGTACACACAAGTACTCTGAAGTTGACATCAAAAAGATGCTTGAGTTTCCGATTGACAATATCCATGTGGTTTTTGGTGACCATGTCTTCCACCAATCTATTGGAATTCCCATGGGTACCCATTGCGTTCTGTTTTAAGCAGACATATTTTTGTATTCATATGAATCAGAATTTGTCCAAAATCTTATATGCGAAAAGAAGGCTGTGGCCATCAACTCAACATTTAGATATATCGACGACGTATTGTCAATTGAAAATATAGTTATTTCCATTCTTACGTCGATACGAAATATCCCTATGAGCTTGATATAAAAGATACCACAGAGTCTGACACATCTGTTTCATACTTGGATATTTTACTTGAAAAAGAGTTAATGGTAATCTTACAACCAAGCTATAAGATAAACGTGATGACTTTAACTTTTCTATCGTCAACTTCCCTTAATTATGCAGCAATATACCTTCATCCCCTGCATACGGAGTACATATATCTCAGTTGAGTCGATACGCAAGGGTATGCTCTACGTATGAACAATTTGTAAAACGAGGTGAATTATTGACAAACAAGTTGATGAAACAAAAATATCAACAGTCTCATTGAAAGTCATCGTTTTGTTCTATGGTCGATTCAATGACCTTGTCAGCAAACACAATTTATCATTGAGTCAAATGCTGACTGACGTTTTTCATACTAAGTGTTACTTCATTATTTATGCACTGATTTGACGACGGATTTTCCCGTTATTTCCCCATCATGACAATGAGCACACGTCGAGTGTGACCGGTCGACAGGGATTGCCTACTCCTCCATGGCACCTGATCCCATCTCTTATTTTTTGGAGGTCTGTGTTTGTTCTGCTCCTATTCTGTATTGTTTTATGGACTTTTGATCTTGAATACTGTGCGCAATCTACATGTTTCATGGAGACAACACCACTTGCTGCTGGAGAGCTGAAAATTTTGTCCTATCCTCGGCACTCAGGGCCATTGAGCAGTGTATGAGGGATCTTTTCGTGCCTGAAAACCTACTGCGAGACGGGACCTTGGTGCATACGGTCTCATCCAAAGGACCGATCCCCACTACGCCCCACAGTAGCATTCAAATCCGCGACGTAAGGATTGGATCCTAGAGCAGAAGCTCTAACCACCGCGCCACTCGGGGACTCTTACTCTATCATTCCTCGAGAGAATCATGTTCTGTGCATATTATATAGTATGTTTAAATGTTTATATACATTATATAATACGGGGATGAGTAAAAAAAAATCTTAACGAGCCAACTGCAAAAAAGTTTTCAGACTTCATTTATAAAGGACATAAGTACATGTATAATTTTGATCTGATTGTATTGTGTTGCATATAATGGCAAACTTATTGAAGGGAGGGGTACTGTCCTCTATGTCTAACCCAGTTATTACTGACCTCATATACAATGTAGTACCATAGATTTTGACGACTTGAACTCATGCAGTTCAGTAGGTTTCATAGCATTCCAGATGTTTCAGTTGTCAAACTGCATGTATAAGTAACAGTAAGCAAATAAGAACTTGCCATTCCTTTACTTTAGGAAACACGGAGCCCATGTAAGCTGATTTAGGAGAAAATTCACCATCCCCACACACAGATCTATGAAGGTTTTTCGCAGCTGGAGATGCTTGGCATTTTTGTTTAAAAAATCCGAGTCTGAGTAAACAGGCCCATACAACCCGGGGGTGTGTCCGGAGGGGGAGGGTCACTTTTTTCTGAGTTCAGTATTTATGCTATTGTATATTTTCATTTATACTGGTCGGCCTATCCTCCACTTTTTGTTCCTCTAAGGTCATGCTTTGAAATATTACACGGTTTCGACAATAATTCTTTTTTTAACTGTTTCTATGGGCCTGGCTGAATATTAAAGAATATCTCACCTTTGGGGAATTTTTTGGGATGTCCCTCTCCCTACCCTAAATAAAATTCCTAATTCATTATTGGCATTTTAATTAAACATATTTCCCATCGTCTCAGGCCACGTTTTGGAGTCCGCATATACATATGTAGCTCTCTCTCCTATGGTTAGGATCGTACACTTTGTCCGTGGTTTGCGACGATGCACATTCCCCTGCCCCCAAGAAAAAAAAATTAAACTAGCTTGTCTAATAAATTCTTATATATTATACAGTGTTATATTACATGTAATGTTCAAAGAACAAGGTTCACTTTTGCCTTATATTTGGCCCTGTATATTGCTGGAAAAAAACTGAAACTGCATAGTTTTAGTTAACAATGCATTGAATATAACTTAGATCTTTGGTGACGGTCTTGTAGAGTAGGCTTTCCCCCCTACAATCTTTCCCTCCGAAAAACTGGCTCTAGAGTAGAATTTTCCCCCGGAACACTGGCTCTAGAGTAGGATTTCCCCCCAGGAAAACTGGCACTAAAGCAGGATTTCCCCTACGGTAATCCCACACCAGAGTCAATTTTCCGGGGGGAAATCCTACTCTGTGTAGTAGTTATAGAGTGCGATTTCCCCCAGAGCCAATCCCCCCCCAATAAACTATAATTGCTCTCAACTTATTTTAAAGGAGGAATGGTTGGCACATTGCTACAAGTGTCCCTTCTTCAAAATGGTGACTAGATGTATTGAACATACGTATACGAAAAATGAACATGAAAATATTCAATCCGATTTTCTTGGCTATACCGTCAAATCATTTTTTTAAAAATCAAATAAATTGATGAAACTGGAAAGGACTGTAAATTTCCTCTGCGTCTGTCCGCCCGTCCGTCTGTCTAGCTGTTCCTCTGTGTGTCTCAAATGGTTTTCCGCACTTTTTTCTACATGCTTGAAGACATTGAGCTGATTTTTGGTATAGGATTATATCTTGATGAATTAAAGTTCAAATTTGCGTTTCGTTTCGCTTCAATTTTTTTATGAATTACCTTTTCAATTTTACAGTTTTTCGGAATGTTTTTTTTTACATGATTGAATATTGAGCTAATTTTTGGTAAGTAAATTTCAAGTTTGCACTTCGTTCCACTGGGGACATTTTCAAGAATATATTTTAATATTGTAGGCCTACACAATCCAGACATCAATTTTTGTTTGTTTCATTATATTTTGAGAATATTTACATTTCATTAAAATGTATATATTTTGGTTGAGATTCCATGATTTGAAATAAATGCTTAGAAAATTCTTGCAACATAAGTTGAAATAAACACTCATTTACGTATTAAAATCAGTTTGTCGTTGTCCTTTTTTGCAAAAAAGTTGCGGCTGTGGTTTACATTGATTATAACGAGGGAGGAAATCCTACTCCGAGAAAGAAAGAGGGGGAAATTTGGCTATGTACTCTAGAGTACGATTTCCGGGGGGAAAACTGGCTATGGGGGAAATCCTACTCTACAACACCGGTGTATCTATCAAAAATGACTTAATTTTCTGGCTAGTCATTATGACGTCACGAAATGCGTCAATTTCCTTATATTCTGAAAAAGTCTAGACCTACAAAAAAGGCCAATTTTTAAAGCTATTTTCGATATTTCATGTAGAGCGCAACCTCTGATCTAAAATAAGCAACTAATAAATGATAGAACTTTTTCTGAGGGTTAAAGGACATGTTTTATTTTTTAGATCAGAGAGTGCGCTCATATTATTTTTCTTCACTGAAATTACTCAATTATGCCTCTATACCTAAAAAATCAAGAACATCGTAATTTCATAAAACCAGTTCTCTAAGACCTGGACTTTTGGGAGAAAATTTTTAATAGGAAATGAAAGCACTAAGTCTCTATTTTATTTTAATGCTTAAAATGGAACATCAAGTGTTAATCAATCAATTGGTATATCTACTGGGCCATTTAATGCATAAAGTGAACAGAGCTCTTTAATATTCATATACGATTTATGTCATGGACTTATAACTTTATTTACATGGTGGTGTTGAGGGGGGGGCATGGGAACTCGGCACGCCCCTGCTATTTGTGCCTCGTTTAATGAAGGTGACAGAATCAGCCGAGGTGGGCCGAGTTGGGGGGGGGGGGGGGGGGGGGCACAAAACACCTTTAACTCTTCGTCAAAGTTACAGATCGATATATCACAGGGTAAAACCAGTAAACTTATTCTCAGTGTATAATTTTGAAATCGGGATTGATTGATTGATTATATACTGTTTAACGTCCCTCTCCAGAATATTTCACTGATATGGAGACGTCACCATTGCCGGTGAAGGGCTGCAAAATGCTCGGCACTCAGGGCCTTTGAGCAAGGGATCTTTATCGTGCCACACCTGCTGTGACACGGGGCCTCATACGGTCTCATCCGAAGGACCGCCCCATTTAGTCGCCTTTTACGACAAGCAAGGGGTACTGAGGACCTATTCTAACCCGGATCCCCACGGGAGAAATCGGGATTGAGATCCCTCTGATTCAGATTTGTTTCATATTCATAGAAGAGTTTCAATACCTTGGCATTATTTTTCAACGAGAACAATAGTATTACTGAGTCATTACATTTAGAATACTGTAAATACGAGGGCTGTTATAAATAACTTGGTGCTCGGAAAGAAGCAAAAGACGCTTTTCAATGATTTACATATTTTATGAAATCTCTTTTAATTAAAACACATGCGTAACAATTTTTATCCAATTTCTGATATTGTATATATGGTGAACTGGAAAAGGTAGAGATTGCCATTGTTTCTTCCTTATTAAAGGTGTTTTTTACCATGGTTTGGAAATAGATATTCAAAAAAGAATTGTGAAAAAATAAAATGCAAAAATTACTCTTCAGGGAATGTTGTATGAAATTATGTAAAATCTTAAAATTTGTTTGCAAACAATTTGGACATTTTGGAACAAAAATACCATAATATTAAGAAAATTGGTTGCCATATGTCAAGTACCCTCGCTGTTTTTGTACTGATGAATTTTGTTATGGTTTTTGAAATTATCTGGAATATCAAAAAAAATCATCAATCACTGATATTAAAAAAAAAATAACATTTGTACACGCTATCGTTTTCACTCAAAAATATAAAGATCAATGTAAAGTTTCTTTAAAAAAGTGAAATTGATGTCTATCAAAATGTATTAATTATTATTTGGAAATGGAAAACAAAATAAATTTTTTGTTGGCAAAGACAGTACTCATTTTTGATGCCCATTAAATATTTTCTTTGTTACCCTATGATCTTTAATGTTGAAGGTTTTTCAAAAATCAATAGAGCAGATAGATTGTGTGACAACTGTAGTGTTGGACAAATTGAAGATGAATTTCACTACATATGTATATTTTGTAATTGCAATTTTTTCAATTATGAAAGAAGAAAGTACAAAACTGAAAAAGTTTACAAAGAGAAAAATATTAATAGTTTTGCTAATTTGTTTAATGGTGATGATAAATTTACCTTAATTAACTTATCTAAATTTTGTAATATAGTAATGTCTTTTATTACTGGAATCATCAATTCATTCCAAATAACATTTGCCTATCTAGAAAGGTTAAAGATCAATGTAAAGACTGGAAATTCTCCTAAATGTATTAATTATAGGATCTACAAAATAAACTTTGGTCTAGAAAAATATTTTCTTTGTTACCCTATGATCTTTAATGTTGGTTTTTCAAAAATCAATAGAGCAGATAGATTGTGTGACAACTGTAGTGTTGGACAAATTGAAGATGAATTTCACTACATATGTATATTTTTTAATTGCAATTTTTTCAATAATAAAAGAAAAGAGTACATAACTGAAAAAGTTTACAAAGAGAAAAATATTAATAGTTTTGCTAATTTGTTTAATGGTGATGATAAATTTACCTTAATTGGCTTATCTAAAGTTGTAAAATAGTAATGTCTTTATTTCACTCTTGAATTCCTTCTAGTACCTCAAAATTAATATTGTATATATGTTAATCCTTTGTTCATTTGTTACCTTATCATTGTTGATTTATTTCTTGTTTGTACTTTTATGCATCATGTGAAGCGATAAAGTGAAATAAAATGTTTCAAATGTTTCAAAATGTTTTAAATGTTTCATTTTCAGATTCGGATTCTTTTCATATTCAGAAACATCTCTCAGAGATTATAAACAAACATATAAACATTATACTAAGAATTTATGTAGTGTTTCCAGCAACATCAAATTGAACATCAAATATGAATACCTCATTCTGGAATACCGAAAATATCAAATATCAAATTTTGGTACCTGCTCCAACAATAAACCCTGAACAAAAAATGTAGATAGGGGCTCCTTATAAAGCTTTGTTTTATTGTTTTTTTTTTAATTTTATTTTATTGTTGTTTTTTTATTACAATCAATACAGTGTTATCCATTGTGTTATACCCATATATATCTATTGAGTTTCAAAACAAAATGTTTATATTTTTTGTCAAGTTTTATTATGAAAATATGAATAGCTGTTTATGAATATTTTTTGTGCAGCTGTCCCACACAGAAGGGAGTGATATGCTATTTTTCCCCATTTGATCCAAGATTTTGACTTATATTATAACAATAAAAAGGACCAACTAGTGTTCCCGAATTCAAAAGAACTAAACAAGCTTACCCATTTATTTCAGTTATATAAAATCAAATGAGGGATTAGGGAAATTATCCAAGGAAATCATCCAGAAAGACCCAAAGGAGGTTCGATCCTGAGCTTTTGAGCAGATTTTGGTCTGTACCTATATTACTAGAATTCCGCATTATTTTTAACTTCTAACATTAAATCTGGATTCTACGGTGCAAATTAAACTATATTCAAAGAAAAAACAGCGATTAAATTCCATTCAAATAGAATCAATCCAGGAAATATATATATTTTGTTACGGAAGGTATTTTACATGTAGAAGAAAATGGACAATTTTTCCCTTTTGAAATACATATAGTACTGTTAAGTTTAGATTCCTATTTCTCCATGTTGGTTGCACACAGAGCTTTTTTTTGCAGTGAAATGTTTAATGCTGGTTCTGAAGTATCTATCTAATTATTTCTTACGAATTCTTTCATTATATTGTAACAAATACAGTAGCTATATTCTGAAAGTGCAGGAAAAAATTGAGCCAATTTTAACATTAAATTAACACCTTTTCAGTTATATCTAAAAATTTACATCATAGGCTCCCACTTGCTTGTTAAATTTTCAATGCCAGTAAAATCACATTTTATGTGTGCAGAAAGGTCAAATAATAGATAATGCTAAGTAATTTGAAACTTTTTCTTAGTCATAATTCAAAAGTGTCTTTTTTGCTTTTAAATAGACTAATAGTTTGCTTTGCCCCATGTTTTATTTGGATAAAATCATTGGAAGGAAAACGTCGAAGATGTGCTTTTTGATTAAGACACAAATTTCAGTGCAAAAATGTAATATATAATGTACTTTGGCGCCAAAAGAAGAAAATTGAACCCCCCCCCGTTTTATACCCCCGCCTAGAAAGTGGGAGGATATATAGTAATCAGGATGTCCGTCCCTACGTCCGTCCGTCTGTTACGCTTTGGGGTAACTCTTATCCGCAACTCCTCTCATATCGCTGAATGAATTTGATGAGACTTTCACAGAATCTTTATTAGATATTGCCATTGTGCACCTTCTATTTTACTTTTTGATCCGACACATATTTTGGGTTTTCCATAGCAAAACATGGACACTGCTATTATATTCATATGGGAGGCGTGGGTTTCATTTGGTGAGCTCATTGCTCACAGTACCTCTAGTTTGTTTTCATTTTAATTATAAGCTATGTGTTTAGAATCTAAAAATGTGCTTGACAAAAAAGTTTAAGACTTTTTAAAATATCAGGATCCAACCTCGTTAATGGTATTCTTAAAGTACATGTAGTGAAGGACACTTAATTTATTAAATATTCCTTCGCTTTTGATTACTTTTGCGCATATTTGGAGTTAATTAAGGTTTTTCCTCAAATACCATTCTGATATTGAGTCAATAAGATTATTTTTCGGGGGAATGTTCTTTTCCACTAGACGTTAATCCTTCTTAACCTTTCTGCACCTGCTCTCCGCCATCATGCAATATATATGTATATAAAGTAATCGATGACGCGGTCATACAGTGTCGTTCATACCAGCAGGTCACATGACTACAAAAAAATATAAAGTGAGCACTCCCTGTCAGACTGCTGTCTGAAAGAAAATTTAAGTCTAAAACTTGCAATTTTAAGGATACAAGGTATGTTTTTTTTATAAATATATTTTCAATTGTTAATTGAAAAGAGATAAAATTGTTTCATTTAAATTGCTTAATTGATCTTATTTTCTATACAGATAATGCAATTAAATGGAAAGACCTTAACAGGAATACTGACCAGACCTTTCCAACTGCAAAAATGTGTGATTTCCAGAATCAGAAAGCAGAAGGAAGTATCGCTCTATCGGGGAGAATCGACACTTACGGTAAGATATTTTCACAGATACAGGATTTATACAAGTTAAATTAATGCAAAACATCAAATCGGCGGAAAATCTATATCATTTTAGCAATTTTAAGAATTTTTGCAAAAAGAAAAAATTAAGTGATAAAAATTCATGTAGCATGGTTCATTTATTTTGAAAAATTTTCCATTGCTTTTAGTTATTTTTTTTTCTGTGCAATTTATATTACTGTAATACTGTAAATTTTGAGTGTGCTCAAATAAAGTACTAGTAAATAAATTCATGGAAAATATTAAAATAAGATAGTATCATCTTAAAAAAATATTTGACTTTTGAAAAATATTTGAAAAACTTCAAGTGCCCTTACATGTATCATGTATTTTTGTCATGTGATAATGTCGATGTTCTATCAAAAATATATGTGCAGTACAAAAAAAGAATTGATGTGTCACGTCCATCTTTGTGTCAGTTCATGCAACAACTTTTTATAAAATCACAAATTAATGAATATATAACGAGGGTTAGGGTTAGGGTTATGAAAATCTGAAACCAATCAACAACCATTAAGACAAAATAGAAAGCGAATTTTTTAAAATTTAATTCATGACTTACGTTTTTTATCAATAAAGAATTATTTCATCATGGTAATGAAAAAATTACACTTCACATTCGAACACAAATACAAATAGATCGACTCTCCTGCAGCCGAAAATAATAAACATGGAGTGATTCAGTATTATTGGAAGCCTTTTTAAAAAAGGGAAAAAAGTTTATTAAAAACGAACAAAAGAAAATTTTTGTAAATGAATTTAATTTCATTTAGACTATACTTTAAATTTTTCATTTCAAATTATTTTTGTAAGTCTTTACATTCATTATGATGTTCCTTAAAATATCAAAATTTATATGATTATATTGAATTAACTATTTCTTATATAATATGATATGTACTAACACAATTTTTCAAAACATTGATTATTCTCCTGTAATACTAGTAACATATAATCTATAATGTCGCTCTCTAACGTGTTATTTTTGACGGACAATAGCAGTTGTTGAATTTAAATTTTAACTTGACCATTGTGGATAGGTTCCCTAATGAAATAATTTTCATGTCTTTGCAAAAATAAATAAGTTGTCATCATGAATCTTTAACTTATAAATCTCTTTCGAAAAAATAACATACCAGTACGGTATGTATACTTTTTTGCATGATATTAAGCTAAAATCATATATTTTAAGTTCACATAGTTTTTCGCACAAATTAAGGACACGTTCTTGTAATCAGAATTACCATTATCCATCCGTAGAAAGACGACATAACCCTAATATAAATTAAATATCTGATGTTAAATGTTCATATTCTTTTAAATCATCTTAAGTTTTAAAAGTCGAATTTAATCGAGCTTTCTTTGATACTATTTAGTTGAAACTTTCAAACTTACTTCTTGTACATGTAGATGAGTATTTTTCTGAGTACTTTGCACATTTTCCATACTTGTCGTGTTTTTGTCATTTTGTAGCGCCGCAAAAATGCCAATGTTGCATAAAAAAAATCATGCCAAAAGATAGGATAATAAAACATTGTTTATTTTGTCAAATAGTAAATTGTTTCAATTGAAAAGAAATTTCATCTTTGACATTTACGGTCTGAAACTTTGAAAAAAAATTTGCATTAGGATGTATCTTTCATGATGGTAGATTTCAGATAATAACCCAGACAAAATGCTAGCTTTTTAACATGGAAAGCAGTGGGGCAGATGGGAAATTCTGTTTTCATCTTGCGCTGTAGCGTCATGTTAATTAGGCCTACAGAAAATATAGAAGTTATATGATCCGCACTGTTTCTGTGTCTGGGCAAGGCAAAGGACTGCTGTCAAAAGAACGGGTTAAAAGACGGCTGCATTTGACGAGAAACCATGAAAACCTTTCTCGAACTATCATAATCTATCATCCATGAATATTAAAATTCTACCTATTGTGTGTGAAATGTGTTTTAAGTTAGTGAAATAAAATTAAAATTCTACCTATTCTATTACGTGTAATATGTGTTTTAAGTTAGTGAAATAAAATTAAAAATTCTACGTATTATTATGCGTGAATTATATTTTAAGTTAGTGAAATAAAATTAAGTTATAAATCAGTTGTTAAAATATATTTTGTAGCCTTGTTACACAATTTCGAATTATAAGAATGCGACGTTAATTTTTGCAAAAAACCATGTGAGAGTTTTAAAGAGATACAGCTGAGCTGTATGCGATGTTATATTTCTTAATTTGTCTTTATATGGGCTTATTTTATAATCTGATAAAGTTCGCCTTAATATGGACTTATTTTATAATCTGCTTCGACTTTTTAAGAGTTAGCAACAGTTATAACAATTGGATATAGATAGAGTATCCTTCCATATTATAGTTATGTATGCAGACATTAATCATCTCTCAAAGAATCGTTGTTTTTTTTCGTTCATCCTACTAAAGTACCATGTACAGCTGTAATTGTGTAACTGAACAAATGAAAGGCGTAAATGGGAACCTCACCTGGCCTCTCTTCCTCCACAGTGTCCATTTAAGGCCAAGGAAAATACCCAAAGTTCAGAAACGACACCAGATGTCAACCAGCAGAAAACAACAACAGACACTCAGGCTCACATCAGTTAAACCACTGGAAAGCATCCCAGGACCGAAGGGGCTACCCATTGTAGGAACACTCTTTGATTACATGAAGAAAGATGGACTTCGATTCACCAAAATGTTTGAGGTTTGGTTTTTGTATTGGAGCCTTTTTGATAACAAGAGCTTATATTAAAAAAACATTTATATGTACATGTATACTGTTTCTTTTCACTAAGTATCACATATTATAACCTTTTTTTTCATTTGATTATTCACGTTTTTTTTAGCATTCCATGTTTCATAATTATCACTATTATAACGTTTAGGCATACAGAAAAAGGGCGCTGCAGTTTGGTCCAATTTACAGGGAGGTTATAGCTGGTCAGTCGACAGTCGTTGTGAGTGATCCTACAGAATATAATAAAATCATTAGGAGTGAGGGCAGATACCCGAAGAGGATGGTCATGGAACCTTGGTTTTACTACCGCGACCAGCGAAAGAGGGGACAGGGACTTGTTAATTCGTAAATATGTTTTATGTTCTAGAAAAGATATCTTAGAATAATTGCATGAAATAAATATGCCCGTTAGTTTACCTTCGTACTCTGCTTTGATTGGTCAACATTTCAGAAGGGTGTATGTCTGAAAAAAACATTTCTTACTTTAACAAATCTTTATATTAGCAAGACTGCAAATTTTACTATCTAAAAATGTCAATAAACAAAACTCAAATAAAAGAAAAAAATAAACACTCTGACATTTAAACAATTTTTATTAGAAATGGTGAAGAATGGTACAAACTTCGTTCTGCTTCTGCCAAGAAAATGCTGAAGATAAAAGAGGTCCTAGATTTCTGTACAGATATGGATGAAGTAGCCACTGATCTCACACATCGACTGGCCAGTCTCAGAAATGAACAAAACGAGGTCATAGGCATCGAGAATGAGATCTTTAAATGGGCCATGGAATGTGAGTAATACAGTGTACATGTGTATGATATGGCACCTGATCCCACCTCTGATGTTTCGGAGGTCCGTGTTTGCTTTGCTCCTATTTTGTATTGTATTTGGACTTTTAAGTTTGGATACTGTTTGTTATCTCCATATATTTCATGTACATATATATCCAAGGATACCATTTACCGCGAGAAGATAAGGAAGCATAACATACATTATATGGCATTATATACTTATCTATATTGGTCCCAGATTTTAGTAAAATCCTACATAAAGCTAGGAGAGGTTCGACACTTGTACTTTAATATAAAAGACGAAAGTAAAACACAGGGACCAATCTTATAAATCTGTAGAGAATATGTGGATCTCTAGAAATGGGATAAGATGCCAAGGATGAGTAAACATCCCCCGTCGAACCTCGCTTTCCCACGTGAGCTCTCTTTGTTCATTCAATTTAACGTCCTGAATTTTTTTGAATAAATAGAAACGACATTAAGATTTACAGCAAACGCAAGTCTTCAGTTTTAGAGTTAATTTGATCTATTAACAGAGAATATGACCTCACAGCAGTGAACTTGTTGGGTTTATGGGGAACAATTATGCAGTGCATGTATTATTATAAAATATATGGACATAAAGAACACTGAAGCCGTATATACATTGTGCGCTCGTATTTTGCAAAAAAAAAATGTAACAGAACAATATTTGCTATTTTTTCATTTTCAATTTTCACAGCAATGGGTGCGTTCTTATTCAACTCAAGAATCGGTCTACTTAGCCCAAATCCTCCACAACAATCCAGGGACTATATAGAAAATCTACAGGGTTTTTTTAGGCTGATGCAGCCATTAACTTATAACTTTCCACTCTACAAGGTTATCCCAACCAAGGAATGGAAACAATTTCAAACATACGCCGACAATGTGTTTAGGATTGGTCGATCTTTTGTAGACAAGGTAACAAAACTCTGTTATGAAAGATACTAGTAGATGCCAATGTTTATACTAAAAGCTATTATACTTTGTAAATCCACAGCAGTGATTAACTGCTAAGGGGAAAACATATGCTATCTACACTATCCTTTTTCCTACTTGATATGCATTCTAGTCGTCTATTCTTCGCAAAAACAAATTTCTGTGGCCTTCATATCAGTATCTTTCTTGTAGTTAGATTATTAACAGCATTTCATTAACTTGTATTTACTTTTAAATCCAATTACAACAGTAAAAAATAATTTAAATGATATATTGATTATTGACAGATTCCTACCACCTAATTGAAAATAATCAAAAATTAAGTCATAAACACCCTCTATATTAACACATGTAAAATACAAATTAACTTGCAATATTACAACATTCCAAAATATCATTTAAAATATATACTGCACAAAATATCAAATGAAACACGTTCTAACCTTTCAGATAACAAGCAAGATCCAAGGCAAACCACAACGAGGAGTGAAATCTTCCTTTGTTCATCATATAAGGAGTCAGGAATCGCTCACTGAAAACGAGGCTCTCTCTACAGTTGTTGACCTACTTGTTGGTGCAACAGAAACGGTCTGTATGCAGAACAGTTTTTAAAAACAATTATGGCTTATTACATGTGCACATTTTTCAGAATAACGATTCAAAATCAATTAATATGTTAACTTGTAGACGTCCAATGCCTGTCTGTGGGTAATATATTGCTTGGCAAGACACCCGGATGTTCAACAGAAATTATACGAGGAGACAAAAAAAGTTTTACCTGATGACGAAACAATCACTCCTGATAAGCTGATTCAACTTCAGTATGTCAAAGCAGTACTCAAAGAGACTTTAAGGTGAAGAAAATGAGCTGTAATAATAATAAGCGCATTTTAAAAATCCTGGTTTAAATTAGGTAGCTTAATAATTAGCTTTATGAAAAGTTGGCTAGAATGACTCAAAGTTTTATTTTCTATTTTCTTATATTTGCATTGCGATGATACCAAGAATCACACCATATGTAATCTTGAAGTGTTTGCGTTAAGAACAATTTCAAATTGAATGAGAAATGATAATCTGCATTATATTTTAAGGTTGTATCCAATTACCTTCGCCACCAGTAGATTCATTGAGAAGGACACCGAGATAGCAGGATATAACCTCCCAGCTGGGGTAAGACACACACACACATACCCTCTCTCTCACACACACCCTCACCTTCTCTCACAAACACACACACCCTCCCTCACACACAAAAGGAAAAAATGTGTAATTTTCCAATCAAAATTTATCAATTATTATATTATAATTTATTTCTTTTTTTTGTTGAACAATATATATATGTATTTTAAACATTGATTTTTTTTTATTTTCATCATACTCACGTAAGACATTTATACCAGTAATATCATGAATATAGATAGATATAGATTAAAATGCCACAAAAAACAGATTTTTTTTAAAGTTTCAATATTGCAGACCCACGTTCAGTGCAACCTTTATGGAATATACCGGGACAGCAAGTTCTTTCCCGATCCCGAGCTATTCAAACCAGAGCGATGGCTAAAGGAAACACAGATGAAAAAAGAAGTGAAGGCTCTTTCAAATCTGGTCTGGGGTCATGGGGCACGCATGTGTATAGGTAGGTTTTTTCCCCTTTAAAATATCCATGAATTTTTTTTTTATTTTTCATTGATAAAATCTTTTTAATTTCAGGTCGTCGTTTGGCAGAGCAAGAAATACACATATTGATGACTAAGGTAATTTTCTCCCTTCTTAATGCTTACAAATGATTAGATGATACAACAATTTCAAGACCCTTTTTAATATTAGTATTATACGCCATCTCATTGCTTTCTTACCTTTATCAAATTAAGTAAACCTTCTCTTGTAGATTATACAGAACTTTCGTCTAGAGTACAATCATGAGCCTGTTAGGGCCATTGTAAGGACAGTTATGACCCCTGATCGTCCTCTACGTATTTCTTTCATCCCAAGGAACAAACAAACAGCTGACAATTCAGAACTTTACTTGACAAATACCTTATCTTCTACAAATTCTGCTACCGTAGCCGCCTAGATTTCCATGACTTTGTTTGGAGCAACATTTTTGATCAAACCACTTGCATGACACAAGTATTCAACTGCAAATGAAAATGCTCCTCCGATTCCTCCTTCTATGTTTGTATCAAAAAGATGCATGAGTTTCTGATTGACAATATCTATGTGATTTTTGGAGACCAGGTATTCCAACAATCTATTGGAATTCCCATGGGTACCAATTGCGCTCTGTTAGTAGAAGACCTATTTCTATATTCATATGAACCAGAATTTGTGCAAAATCTTATGCGTGAAAAGAAGAAAACACTTGCTGTGGCCTTCAACTCGACATTTAGATATATCGACGACGTATTGTCAATTAACAATGGTAATTTCCATTCCTACGTCGATACGATATATCCCGGTGAGCTTGAGATAAAAGATACCACAGAGTCTGGCACTTCTGTTTCATACTAGGATATTTTACTTGAAAAAGACGCTAATGGTAATCTAACAACCAAGCTATATGATAAACGTGATGACTTTAGCTTTTCTATCGTCAACTTCCCTTACTTATGCAGCAATATACCTTCATCAACTGCATAGGGAGTGTATATATCTCAGTTGATTCGATACGCAAGAGCATGTTCTACGTATGAACAATTTCTAAAACGAGGTAAATTATTGACAAGCAAGTTGATGAAACAAGAATAACAGCAGTCTCGTTTAAAGTCATCATTTCGTAAGTTCTATGGTCGATACAATGACCTTGTCAGCAAATACAGTTTATCATTGAGTCAAAAGATGACTGACGTTTTTCATTTTAATTTTAGTCCATTATTTATACACTGAATTGACGACGGATTTTTCCGTTATTTCCCGATCATGATAAGGAGCACACGGCCGTTGTGACCGGTCAGCTCGGGATGCTCAATCCTCCATGGCACCTGATCCCACCTCTGATGTTTCGGAGGTCCGTGTTTGCTCTGCTCCTATTTTGTATTGTTTTATGGACTTTGATAGGAACGTAAAGAAGGATAATAGAGTGTGATTATATTAAGTATCTTAATAAATTCAGCTACGTAGGAATATAAATACTGGTGGTTAATAAAGGAGCATGATTCGTGTCCATCAGGATTCAAACAGTTTTTGGATTCAACTCTCCCAACAGTCTGTTTGAAGTACGATGGGTACTAACTTACCATGTAATAAGCAGAGCTATTTTTATATTCATATAATGCAGGATTTTTAAATAAATGCTACATGAAGAGAAACACCTTGCTTTAGTCTTTACTTTAACATTCACCGAACTTAAATAGTAAAAACAGTAAAAGTTATTACAGAGTCTGACACATTTGTTTCATTTTTGGATATTTCACAAGAAAAAGACCTTTTGGTAAGCTAACAACAAAACTTTATGATAAATGTGTTGACTTTAAGTTTTCTATAGTCAATGTCACTTATTTAAGTAGCAATATATTCTAAATTGCTGCATGTGGAGTTTTTGTCACAGCTGATTCGATACGCAATCTTGACCTTGGCCTACGTCCTTACAATAAATGTAAATATGAGCCAAGCTATTGACAAACATGTCGATGAAAATTGATATCAACAGTATTCTTGAAATTGTCTACAAATGTTCTGTTTGTCCGATTCTGACGAGGAGCACATCGCGGGTGTGTCCGGTCGACAGGGGATTCTTCCTACACTATGGCACCTGAGCCCTCTCTGAGGTTTTTAGAATTTGGTACTAGATTTTAATTTACCTTAATTAAATAAGAATTGTACAAAGTGTAGAAAAAGTAGTCCATTTGAAGTAGGTGAATTAATTTAAAAAATATTAAATATTTCTTTGTACGTTTTGATTTTTTTTTAAAATGTCATATTTTTTTTTAAAAACTGGGGAGGAAACGAAAATTACTCAAGCTCAAAAGTCCATTTGACTGAAACAAATCATTGATAGACCGGAGAGCTACATTTCAAATATTGAAAAAACTGTATTCTTACTGCGCACAAAAAAGATTTCAATAAAGTCCTTAGCTCCTCTCTCATTTACTTTTGTAGTTTACATTTGTACGAAGCGTGTTGGACCGAACTATCTTGCAAACCTAAATGGCAGTATAAATAGGAGGAATTTTCGATGATCTTAATTTCAGGGCCAGGATGCCTATTAAAACAATCGTAAAGAATACTTTCTTGTGGAAACAGTGAAAGAATATAATATGTTAGGAACACACGGTTAGTAATATTTTGAAATTACGGTATTAAAAACATGAAGAAATAAATCGAAAAACAGGGCACTTTTTTGTGCGCAATAAATATACAGTTTTTTTAATGGGTGGCACTGTAGATATCCGGTCTATCAATATACATATTTTCGGAGAGCTACAGTTCGCAGCTACGTTTGCAACTGCTTCTTCAATAAATATGGAACTTGGAATTTTTTATATCTTGTGATTGGTATCAACAAAATTCCTTTTTTTCACTGGAGTTCCGCATAACAACATTCATCTTTGTAGCTGCAGATCTGTAGCGTTATGGTTTTATATATTTGTCTTTGACCATAACGCTACAGATCCCGTAGTGCAAAAAAGGTGCAATTTACGGTGCAATATTTTTTGCGCTCTTTTGGGGAGAATATCTCCACTTTCCAGCATCGGTCAATCAACTTCCTTTCATCCCCTAATTCTAGACACATTATTTAACTAATCTGTATATTTTTTCCATCTCCCAACCCTTTATAGTCGTCTCTAGAAGTGATAAACTTGCTTGATTAAAATTATTTGTTACATTGCTGAAAATTCACTCCAAGCGAGTTTATTGCCTGTAGAGACAACTATAAATGGTGTGGTGGTGGATAAACTATACATATTGACTACAGAATGTGTCTAAAATTAGGGAGTGAAAGGTAGTTGATTGACCGATGCTAGAAAGTTGAGAAATTCTCCCCCAAAGAGCGTAAAAGATATTGCGCCGTAAATTGCACCAATTCTTCCGACAAACATTTGGAATTCCATAGGGCTCAAATTGTGCTTCTTTCTTAACCTTCTTTTTCAACATTTTATGAAGCAGATTTATTCAAAAACCTATACATAAGGAAAAAAATTGTTGTTGTGACCTTCAATTCGACATTTTAATATATCGACGACGTGTTATGAATTAACAATAATTACTTCAATTCATGCGTGGACTCAATATCCCAGTTCTTAAATTTCATGATTTATGCCTTGTTCAGAAGTTTTTAAGCTCGATTTCTACATGTATGTTAACTGCACCTTTTTCATTGATAAGACTTTGAGGTCATTGAATTAAAATAAATGTAAGTTGTTTCCTTTTCTTTGTAAGGCTTGTAATAGTATGGAATATTGGATAATGCGTAGAGTAATAAAAGATTTTGAAAAAGAAAACTATAAGGGATTTCTTAATTTTATTCAATTTTCATCGCTATAATAAAATTTAATAACATAACCAATAGAAATTCCTTGCGTATAAGTAAATTTCTCTGGTCCATGTGGTCTGTTCTTGGTACAATTTAGTGCAGCTGCAAGGTAGTGGTTCATGACTGGGTGAATTGGAAGAGAAATTGATTGATTAACAGCAAAGCTGGCCTTCAGACTGATGGTACTGTAATGAAAATCTACTCAGACAGACTTAGTGTCCATGTATAATCATGCTGTGCGCCCGAATTTCCGATATGGCTATTTTTTTTTCTTTGGAGGTAATACGTGTGTGTTCTTTATGTGAAGTGGTGTATTATCCTTAAGATTTTAAGGGACAGGAGAGTGTAAATGAATATTGCAAATAAAACATATTGAAATTGTTGAGAAAGTCAAGCTACAGTTTGAAGATATCTCAAAAGCTTTAATTTTTAAATATTTTTTATTTAAATGAAGGAGAAATTAATTTGTATATTAAATGTTGTTTAATTATTTATTAATTACTCCTGATGACACCTAGCTGTCACATCTGTGTTTTGTCCCATGCTGGGTAAAACTCAGACCTGCAGTACAGTTCTTTGTTTTCACTAGTGACAGAACCCAGCTGTCTGCATCTAATTAGGGTACTGATATTTAGTATGTTTATTATGAGGACTTCCGAATGTCTCCCACTTCTGACCAATCACAGGTCTTCTATTTCCGTTACATAATATAATAGTTGAGGATAACCTCGCACTTGTCAATTTATGAAAAATTTTGCAAGGGCAAGGCCATTTTGTACTTACGTCCCGCCTGCCCTCCTCTCACCAATATTGTATGTTTTAATAGTGAATTATTGGTTTAGTTTAGTTTGTTAGTCAGCTTTTGAGCATGGTTTTATTCCTCAATTTTCAATTTGCCTACATACATTATGTAATATTTCATAATCCACATATGTATTCAACTAAATAAAACCATAGATTCATTTCACCCAAGCCTGTCTTACATGTTTTTATTCCTATGCATTCAGCTGGGCTATTTCTTATTTACATGAAGGAGAAATTAATTGGTTTTCATAGACTGTTTTAAGAGACCTTTGCTGTTTTTTACCTTAAAATCGTCAAGGATCAAGAGATTTTTTGGAGCAGATAGGAAAGTAATTTATTACTCTGTGGTCGACTTAGATCAGCAGCTACATTTATTAAATAAAAAAGTTATTAAAGAATCAGCATTAATTTATTTTATTTTACCGCAGTAAAACCACATTTTAACTTTTACATGAGTTTGTAGTATCTATAGAATCTGTGGTTTCTTTTACTTCAAGTTAAATGCGATATGTCCAGTCGACATATGAATCAAAGTCACTTAATTGATAAATCTAAATGTTTAGTTGATGGCAACACAAGTGTTTTTTTTTCTTTCTTTGTAGAATTTTAAATTAATTTTGCTCGAAGAAATATGAAAAAGGTAAGTTGATATAGGTACGCAGTTAATGCCCACTGGAATTGCAACTTTTTCGGAGATCGCCTTCCAAAAATCTTGTTTCTGAGTGATAATTCCGTTCAATATTATTAGATCTATATTGTATTTATATGAAGCAAAATTTATTCAAAACTTCATGAAA